CGAATTATTATCATGCTAGAGCAGGAAACGAATTAAAATTAGTATTGCTAACTAAAGAACTTGCGTATCTTTCTCCTTTCTATTTCACTTTACTAATTAACCTCCATTTTAAAGGCCAGACTGATTCTCGTGTACATTTATTTCCCAAATTTTGTTCTTTTGGAAGCTGTGGTATGTCCACATCCCTATATATTTTGAAAAATGTGTTATTATCTTAGAATTTGTGTGGTGCTTTAGAATTGAGAAGGTGAATCAGCAACTGAAAATACAGAGAGAACCTGCCATTCTAGTCGCCCTGCAGTCTCTTTGATTTTCCACTGGGGACCTGGGACTAAGGACAGAGGGAATTTGCTTTACACCACATGGTCTGCTTGTCACTGGATTCCATGTGCCTGTAACCCCGGTGCTGTGTCCTTCCTGTAAACATTGGACACCACTGCTTCCTCCACAAGAGGGGGACCTTTCATCCTGATGTCCCCAGCCTTGCTTCTGCCCTGACCCGGACTCTGGATGCACCTGTCTGTGCTCCCTCCGCCTGGCTCCCTTTACTCTTCCATGCATGTTGCTTCCCCCGCCTGCTCCTCTGAGCCCCTCCTCATGCTGCACCACGAGGCTATCCGCAGAAGGTAGGCATCTACTGCAGGGTGTAGGGAGCCTGCAGGGCTCCCTCGTGCCCCCGCTGCTTTGACATTTCCTGTTTTACCGGTATTCCATCATGCAGCGCTGTAAGAAGACGTGTGTGGGCTTTTAAGACTTGAAAATCTTACTTTTAAAATTTTCCTGAAGAGCATGTAAGAAGAGTTCTCTAATCTTCTTCCTCAAGGGGGTGAGAGGGTGAGGGTGAGGATCTTGCTGCAGCAAACACATCCGCTAGGGTGGGTTTACAGTTGTGGGGTTGTTGGTCTGGTGGGAATTTGAAGTTTCATCTCCCGGAGCAAAGAGACCACTGGAAAGGCAGAGTGGAAACAGACCTCTGTCAGGAACTCTCAGGGTGGGGGGTCTTCATATGAGTGCAGCTAATGAAATGTCATTGATCATGCAACACTGCTCCATGCTGCCTCTCCTCCAGTGAATTCAGACTTCTTTTTGCTGGTGTTTTGTTCCATTTAGCAATGAATATTAGTGCTGTACTTTACTGTGGTATCATGTTTCCACAGTTTCTTTTTGGAAAGGGATTCAACATGACATTCATTTAAACATTTGGATGCTTAGGTTAAAAGTTGATGTGATAGCCCAATTAAGTCACTGAATTGTGACCATATGTACTTGCCAAGACAAAAGTGTCACAGTAGGAATTTCTACCAGCATAATCAGGGTGACAGCTCACATTTCAAGGACTGGGTGTGAGCTTGGCCTCATGGGGTGCCATGGAGCCTGCCATGGGAGGCAGTCCTGTTCCCAGAGCTCCCTTCTGAAAACCTTTCCTCAGCACGGAACCTCTGCCCTGAGCAGAACTCCAGTACCTGAGTAAGGATGTCTTTCTTGAATCGTCTATGGGAAAGGGGGTGTATTGCTCCAGAAGGATTAAAGACAACCAAGAGTAGAAGTCCAGTCAGTTTGGTGAGTGTTCACTAAATACTTAACGTGTCCCCTTCCTGTGGCAGACACAGCGGGCATTTGGCATCTTTAGGGAAAGTGGTTAAAGAAATCAGTTACAGTGAAGTTGGCACAGGTGTCAGTTGACTTGAAATTTGCTTGATTTGAAATGTTTTCCTCATCCCTTCGTTTGCTGTGTTAGGCATTTATAGATATCTGAGCATTAACTATTGCATGGAACTGTTAGTACATCTGTTTCACAACTGTATGAAATATTAATTTATGGAATTCTGATGGCTTTATTGTAGGAGCATTTTGGCTTTTTTGCAGCAGGAATTAAATTTCCTAATTCATCTCTAACTATAGCTATGTGCTTTTGAAATTACTCATGTTGAAATTAAAAAAAAAATAAAATAGTTAAAAATTCAGAATCCTAAATCTCTAGTTTATAATTTTGTGCTACCATCCAGTGCTTTTTAAAAGGTAGTTTTTACTCACTGTATGTTATTTGACTTTAACCCATTTATGGTGAAGAATTTTTGAAATTCTTGCCTGAAATTTACATATTACCTAGAAAAACTCAATGAACCTGAATTTGAAGAGCATGAACTTCCACTGGTAGGGATATTCCAAATATGGCTTGCTAGATATTGAAGGGTTAAAAATGCTTGGATTCATTTTAGGGCTTTGAGGCCAACATACATGTTTTGCCAAATGTGGGAATAAACTAATTGTTTCCACTATAATATTTTGTTCAATTACTTTTGAAAAACGTATTGTTTCTCTGTTCCCATTGGCTTATGAGCTATGCAAACCACAGTCATATATTCGTAGAGGTGGGTATTACATTAATAGTTACATTTATCATTTAGTTGAGCTAACAAATATTTAGCAAGCACCTCCTGAGAGCCAGTGCAGATTCTAGACTCCGAATGGCCCCAGGTAAAAGGATGTGGTCCCAGCCCATTTGAAGCATCTATGGGAAAGGACTCATAGCTCAAGAAGGACTAAAGAGAATTAATTTATTCTTTAATTAGTTAAGAGAAATACAGGACTTGAAGCCTCATCAGAGATTCACAACTCAGTCCCACAAAAAGGTTAGAATGCACAAGTCCTCACAGACCTATCATCTCTCATTGGATCTCACCCCTTTCCTGTGGATAAATGCTGATGAGGAAACACTCTCAGTGAATCAGTAGCTAAGGAGGAGAAAGAGCAGATCTGAATCTCTTCTCCTGTACTGCCAGGTGTGATCTTCGTGCACAGTGTCTTGCTTTTCAAAGACTTAGAGTTAGATCTCTGTATTTCTTAATTCTACTATAATTACATGTCACAAAGTTAATGTGGGGACATCAATGGCAGACAAAGCAAAAGTAGGCAACAAAGTAGTATAAAAGCCCAGAATGGGCGGCTTTGACCCCACCCCAGAGCCCCCAGGTGCCCTGGGGAGAGATGGAACTGCCTGCACATGAGTCCCCTATCCAGGGAAAAGGCTCTCACCTCTGCCACAGTGATCCTGAAAAAAGGGACCCCCATCCTGGGGAGCCACGCTGTCTCTCCATCCCTACTTTACAGCACTGACTGCTTTCAGCATCAACATTAATTTTCCCTATTAACGTTTCTGTCTGACTTTGCTAATATGAAAGAGCCAAGTACTTTTTCTGTCTCCGTTTCACCAGTTTAGCTCTGTTCAGCATCTTCAGCCCTAGGTGCTTAGAGAAGTTTCTTTTCACGGCCTACTTCACTAGATGCTTGTTCTCATTAATAATTTCCCAGAAAAATGTGTGTCAATCGCTTCTACACCTCCTGGAAAGCTGTGGCACTGGGAAGTGTCAAAGGCTTCCTTCCCTTGGCCTCGCTTCTGTTTAAATGCACTAAATGGGCTGTGCATTCACACCGCACAGCAGGTCCGCAGGGCCCCAGCTCCTCATGCTCTGACAGCTATTTCTGCAGCACCGTCGCTTGGTGCTATGTGTATATTTCTGTGAAATGGCAAGTACTTTGTCTATGTTGGAGTTAATCTAAACACAGTTTCTAACTGTTTTCCACAAATGGATTACAGTTTAGTAAGGCTGAATTCAGTTTTCAGAATGGGTCATTTTAATTTTTCCATTAACACCAGTGATTCCTTCCACAATTATCCTTAGCAGCTTTAAAATTTTGATAAATTTATATTGATAGCTCTTAGCCCTGGAGTCACAGCTCAAGCATGGTACTACGGAATGTGTGCCTTAAAGTGAGGACTGTCATTGCCCCCCTAAAGACCCCGGAACTGAAAGAGGAAGTAGAACCCTGGTGGCTCTCTCTAGCCCCATGCATTTCCTGATGCACACTGCCCTCTGGGCCACCTGTGTGGTTCACACAGCAGGATCTCACCACCTGACTCATATTCCCCTGTGGATATACGGGGGCAAGTTTTCCTTGTCCCCGATGGAGGACCACCCAGTTTATTCCCTATTAGCTATTGTGAATGGTGCAGGAGGTTCTCCTCCACCCACCAGCTTCTTCTCTCTCGGATGTCCGTCCCTGGCCCGCCATGGGAAGTTGTGTCTTCACCTTCCTGAAGATCCTCCGCATTGATTTGCATAGTGGCCGCACTACTATGGCTGTGGGAGAGACTTCCCTTTCCTCTTGTAGACCATCAGCATTTGTTACTTTGGGAAACAGTTGAAAGTTGTGAATTTTTCCCATTCTGCTTAAGAATGAATAAATCCATCTTACAATCCCGTTCTATGGCCAAAGAGCAGTATCAGGTTATTCAGGTCTCCACACAGTCGAGTTAGAGAATGTTGTCAATGTGAAAAGTGAGAAGGGAGCCACACTGAGGCTCTAGCTTTGAACTGTATGTGACTACCATACAGGTATCACCAACACATGGGGTAAGGTCCACTTGGAATCAGATCGCATGAGTGTGCAGAGCCTGTGCCTGGGATAGAAGAATAGCACGTTTTTCGAGCACCAATGGTTTAAAAAATGAGATGGTTTGGTTCATTTCTTAATGCATGTTTCATCCTTCCAACTCTGATTGAGCATTATGGGTGGTGTGTGTTGGGTGCCAGCCAAGTCCTGCGGGCTGGGAGCACGCGTGAAGTGCTGGGTGATTCTGCTAGATTGCTTGGCTCTGTGTCCTACCGTTTGGTCTTGTGGTTCCTTGTGTAGGCAAGTTTAATCCCTCTGTGATGAGAATAATCTAGACATCGGGAAGACTGAATCCAAGCAGGAATTCGTTTTCCTTTTTTAACAGAAGGCATTTATTCAGGTAGTTAAAATGGTTATAAAAGTATTGTAGTACAGATGTTCTTGAACCTGGTGATATTTTCTGTTGTGTCTTAGGCACAGTTTAATGGGGTTGTTTTATTGCTGCATAATTGATAATTTTAATAGTTCAAAATAGTGGTGTCTATTTTGTGGTATAAATGGTTCTTATCAGAACTTTTTTTTTTTTTTTTTTCTTTTCCCCATAGTTTTGCCTAGCCACACATGTGGAAATCCTGGGGAAATACTGAAAGGCATTCTCCATGGAACAAGATTCAACATAGGAGACAAGGTCCGGTACAGCTGCCTCCCAGGCTACATCCTGGAGGGGCACGCCATCCTTACCTGCATCGTCAGCCCGGGGAATGGCGCATCCTGGGACTTCCCGGCCCCGTTCTGCAGAGGTGAGCGGGGGACATGCGGCTCTGATGGGCAGTGGCCACAGCTGATAGTGATGAGTTTCTCCATAGAGTAAAAGGGGACACACTGGTCTAGCCCTAGGATTCCAGCTCACTGTGTTTCCAGTATGATGCGTCTGATAAGAAGCCATTGTCAGGACCCCAAAAAGTCCCTAACAACTGACTTGTCTTATTCTTCCCAAATACCTGAAATTCTCTTCTTTCCATTTCTCAGATTCCACACAGCTCCACCGCAGCATTGCACAACTTTCTGTGTGGGAATCTCACTGATCTGATGGTTCTTGCTTAAGATACTTCCTGGTTAAAAATTAAGAACCTCCCCGGATGATCAAACTTCCTCTTTAAGGACTTTCTCAGTACATTCATGTTTGCAATGGGTGATCACTCATGAGCACACTATTTAAAGTGTTCATTTTTATTTGACTGAATTCAGGGCTGGGATACTTTCCTTCAATCCCTGAAATGTTGGGGATTTATTATGAAAACTTTTTTTTTTCAATCTTACGAAAGCATATTTTGAAACTTAAGTCTTGACTGTCCTAAGAAAAATCCATCCAGTGGCTTCCAAAACAAAGCAGCTGGCATTTTGGGGGCCTCAGTTTAATGCAGTAACATGCTAAGTACTGCCTCGGCTAGAGCCCATCCTCACAGCTGGTGCTGAAGTGACTGTGGTCCCCTCTGGGTAAGCAGAAGTTTAATTCTCAGAAGTGACAACAGGTAGCATGTGAAGGAGTGAAATTTAAACTTGAGTCTGACTTTCATTCCACACACAACCTCAAATCTGCATCACCGAATGACTTTGTGTTGTATTCATCAGCATGTTTGTATCTGAATATATGCCATTTAGTGAATATTCACCTTGTTTTTCATCTCCCCTGTTCAGTGTTACAGTTTCTTAAGATCTCTGATGTTAATCATTTTCCAAATGCCATTTGACTGCCCACAAGCCAGTACATCATGGTCACAGGAAATACAATACCACATTTGCACTTCCCAAGCAGGCATGCTGCTAACCACACAGGTAGGCACGGTTTACCTCCTGCCTGGACAAGCTGAGAGGTTGACCAGAGCAGCGGGTGCCTTGGCCTGCAGTGAAGAGTGCAGTGAGGGTAGGTGTCCTGAGATGTGCCTGAGCCCGAAAGAGGGCCCAGGAAGAGTATTTCAAAGCCCACGAAGCCCACACAGCCCTCAGCCTCCCCCTTTCCCCCCGTCCACTCCTAACACCTCTCATTTCCTCTGTGTTTTATGTTACTGATGTGAATGATTTTTCAGCCTGGTATTGTTGGAGCTGCCACGCCCTCACATCCAGACCCACATCCAGTTAGGTTCCTGTGACCTTGAGATCTTGAGTGGAGCCATCTTCCGCCTTCCGGAGCTCTGTCTGCTCACCTCTGTTTCCACTGCTCACCCACTTTCCAGTTTTTTATTTCCCTTGCTTTCCTCCAGGCCCGCTTCCAGCATGTGAGTGAGCTCTGGGTCTAGAGCCTCAGTCCTCACCCTCCCTCTTTCCCAGTCCTTCTCCTTGTCTGACCACGTGGCATGTTCACACCTGCAGTGGCCCCAGACCATGGCCGCTGTCCGACTCTCTACCGGCCAGCTCTGGCTGGACCGACCTGTGCTGGCCTCCTCAGAACCACATGCTTCTGCAGTCCGTGCCCTTGGTGCCCTTTGCCTGGCTTTGCCATGGTGAGTCATTCACACGATGGAGTCCACACAGCCTCAAGCAGGTTCCATGGGGTTTGGAACTGCCTTAGGAGCTACCAGCCCGGGCCTGACTACATCTGCACTCTCGTAGTCCTGCATCCCCTTCTCCTCCACATCATCAGGAATCTTGCTGATTATCAAATCTATACTTCAGGCCAAATGTTTAATTGCCCAAGTAAAATTTCTCTCAACCATAGAATTTATTCTCTTTCTCTTCTATCCTTTATCTTAAAATTCTAATGGTGTTTCCTCACTAGTTTGTAACTTCCCAGAAGTAAAACACAACCATGAGGACTGTCTGTCAGTGCTTCCTGGCTTGTCTTTCTACACAAAACATCCAATTCATAGGCACGACGTCTGGTAGACCTCAGCTTTTTTGCTCTAGTGGTTATTTTTTTCTTTTTATTGTTTCATTGAAAGTTTTCTGCTAATTCACAATTATGTATCTTACAAAGTCAAAGTTGATTTTACAACCAGGCAGCTAATCTCTTCTAGCACCGATTTTTTCTTCAATTACAACTATTTCCAGTTACTTTGATCATGATAAGTATTTTCTGCCGTATTACAGATTAACACACTTATGTTAAAATTTTTGCCTTTCATAATGCTAGATTTAATAAGAATTCATAGGGTATTAAATGGAATCATATGAAGAATGCAACTTTTTCTTATTGGTTTGGATAACTGGATCATAAAAATCAATGATCTGATTCTTATAAATGTATAGATGTGGCTTCTCCAGGAGAGACATAAATGAACTTCAGCAAAATGGCTGGGGTAGTTCTAAAAATTGAAATGAGCATATTTTACACTTCTCAAAAGTTCTAGTAACTTAGATCCAGGAATTGTTTGAGGACTTTCTTTTTTTTTTTTTTTAATTTAAGAGGAAAAAGAGAAAAACACAAAACAAAACAAAGCAGTGTAAGGTTACACATAATACAGAACTACAAAAAAAAGCATAACAGTAAGAAATCACCTGTTAATAGATTGCATATTATCATCTTGGAAATAGTTGCTCAAATCACAGTATCAAAGAATACAAAGTAGACATTCAAACAGAGAGACTGTAAACAGCTGTGTTCAATGATCCAAAAACATTAATATAGTCAGCTATTTAACACACCTAAACACACTTGCTGTTATATCCGTTAGAGCTCTTTTTTTTTTCCTCCCTCTCTTTTTTACAACAAAATTTACATATTTTGGATTTTATTACTCCTTAGTTCTTATTACTTTTTTTTTGGGGGGGGGGGAGAGAATAAAGTCAAATATGGCAAAACAAAGCTGTAAGTCAAAACCAAGGATAGACATAGCACATGATGTAGAACAGAGTACAAGGTTATTAACAATGGTTATCAACATTGTCTCTTGTTTCCTTAAAAGGAATTGTCTATCTCATTAGATATTATAAAGTTGGACAAAACAGTGGAGAACAAGACCAATAAAACTTAGGCATTGTGAACATTACAGGACTTCCAAAGGAGACAATAGCCAAACCAGAATGGGCATCTTTGTGAATCTTATTGCCTTCAAATTAGTTGCCTATACCTTCAAACTTGCTACTATCGCACAGAATGGAACAGAGTCTAATCAGTCAAAACAAGATCTTGGGAGTATTACAGGACTTCAAAACAAGTTAATAGGAGATCAAAAAGAGTTACTACTATATATCCTAATTTTTTAAGTTTTTCCCTTAATTAAAATAAACATAAGAAATAGCTAAATAATTTTTTTAAAGAATAATAGTTACCATAGTGTCTGTCTTTTTCCTTAAAATATTTGGATAAAACTTCATATACTATAGCTTCAAATATTTCCATATCAAAAAGCCCAGAAAAAAGCCTTTCTAATTAATAAGTGAAAATTTTATAAGGCTTCAAGGCCACATAATGGGGAATCATGATTATCACATATTTTTATATATTTGAATCATTACTTACATTAGGGAAACTATTCGGTATTCATACATGCGAGATTGATTTATTTCACTTATGAGTATGGTCTCAAGCTGCGCCCATTTATTGATAAATATCTCAATGCGATCCTTCTTTATAGCTGAATAATACTCCATTGTATAGAAATACCACAACTTTTTTATCCATTCCTCAGTTGATGGACACTTGGGTTGTTTCCAAGGTCTGGCGATTACAAATTGTGCTGCTATAAACATAGGTGCACATATATCCCTGTGGTATGATGCTTTCAGTTCTTCTGGGAATATGCCTAGAAGTGGAATAGCTGGAATAAATGGGATTTCCAATCCTAACTTTTTGAGAAACCTCCAGACAGACCTCCACAAAGGCTGTACCAGTCTACACTCCCACCAACAGTGCAGGAGAGTTCCTTTTTTCCCACAGCCTCTCCAGCATTTGTTGTTGTTGGTTTTCTTGATCCTGGCCATTCTTTCAGGAGTGAGATGGTATCTCAGTGTGGTTTTAATTTGCATTTCTCTAATGACTAATGATGATGAGCATTTTTTCATGTATTTATTTGCCATTTGCATTTCTTCATCTGAGAATTGCGTATTCATCTCAGATGCCCATTTTTGGATTGGATCTTTGAATTTTGGATTTCTGAGTTTTTTTAATTCTTTATATGTTTTAGACAAGAGTCCCTTGTCTGAGAGAGAGTTCACTAAAATCTTTTCCCAGTTTGTGGGTTTTCTTTTCACTATGCTGGAGATTTCTTTTGACATGCAAAAACTTTTTAATAAGAAGTGGTCCCAGTTATTGATTCTGGAAAGTATTTCCTGTGCAGTTTGAGTCCTATTCATGAATTCTCTACCTACTCCTATGTCTCCAAGGTTTCTACCCAATTTGTCTTCCAATAGATTTAGCGTTTCTGTTTTAATATTCAGATCTTTGACCCATTTAGATTTTAATTTAGTACATGGTGATAGACATGGGTCTAGCTTTAGTTTTCGACAAATGGAGAGCCAGTTTTTCCAGCACCATTTATTAAAGAGACTGTCGTTCTTCCAGTGAACCTGCTTGGCTCCTTTATCAAAGATAAGGTGGTTGAGTGTGTTTGTAGTTGTGGTTGTTTCTTCTAATCTATTCCATTGATCCTCAGCTCTGTTTTGATTCCAATACCATGTTGATTTTACTACTGTTGCTTTGTAGTATAATTTCAAGTCAGGGATTGTGATGCCTCCTGCTTTGTCTTTGCTGCTTAGAAATGCTTTTGCGATTCTAGGTCTCTTCTGGTTCCAGATGAAATTTAGGAGTGATTTCTCTAGATCTATAAGGTATGTTGATGGTATTTCTATTGGGATTGCATTG